TATATATTATATATATGTATATATGAAAAAAATATGAAAATGCATGTGGGTACTCAAATGAAAGCTCTTGATGAGTGTATCATCGGGATGAGCTTATATCTTTATAAATGTCAATAGTTAAGAAAATACAATACACTTTAACAAAAGTATATTTAACAAAAATATAACTAAATATTTATTCATAATTTTTAGTACTAAAAAAATTTTTTTTTCTTATAAATACAAATTTGGGTAAAATGGGTCACTAAATTTTTTTTATTAATATTCTTAGTTAGAAAAAATAATAAAAAAAAATTTTTTTTGAGAGTAAAAAGTGAAGCTTTGATTTTTTCTATGTATAATATTTAAAAGATTAAAAAAAAAATCCATTGAATTCGACAACGAAAAATGGTCGACTAGTTTCAAATAGTCGCTACAATTGATCATTTTTTTTTTTTTTATTTAAAACTCAGTAACTAACTCAAATATTCCAGATTTTTTGTCAACTCAAAGTGAATTGATAAAAAAAATGCAACCTCAATTTCTGAGTTAGTTATCTACAAATTCACTGAATTTTTCCAGAGAAAAAAAAAATGATTTTTTATCATTGATTAATTCCTAAAAAAATAATATAATTTTTGTCACACTGTCAAAGTATCAGGCACTCCGCAGATAATACTTCTTTAATACAGTAGTAGTAGTATGGAAGTGATTAAATATATAAAAGCAAAATGTACAATTCAAGGTTCGACCGCTAATGGCCGCAAGTAAATCGGTAAGCTGCTTTGCAATTGAATTATTATGAGCACATTACGTTTTCTTTCACAAAAATGATAATGAATAATGACAATAATTAATTTAAAAATGTTAATGTAAATCCTGATTTTAGATACAGTGCATTTTGCATCAGTCATAAATGAAATATTATTTTTATAATAATAATCTGAAAATTTTTTTATCAACAAAAATAAGCTGCTTATTATTTTCAAATATTACTTCATTGAATAAAAATAAATTATAAATAAAATAATTCAGATCTAAACGAAGTTTCTGCTATAAATTAATTATCAAATATTCTTAATCCTTGTTCTAATTTTCTAAGCTATTAAAGGACAAAGTACATATAAAATTATTTATTAAAGAAACTTTTCTTCAATTTAAATTCAAAATCTCGGATTGTAAACTTTTATTTTAACTTAAGTAATATTACTTAGTAAATGAAACTAAAAAGAAATAAAAATTTAATAATCTACGGCAGTATTCGACAAGTGTCATACATTCTCATTAAAACATTAACTTAAATAATTATACATTACATATTTTATTTACAAACTCACTTTACATTTACATGATTAAGAAGCCTTTCTGTACAGTCGTTCTTAGGCATAAAAAAATCTTTGGCAGTAAATGTACAGTCGTATAGATCGATACTTTTTTATTTATCATTTTTCCAACTACCCTGATTAATCCTTCATCATCTGACTCACTCATAATATAATACAATTTAATTAAACATTTTTTTATTAAGAGCGACAATATTTTTTTTTTAAAGAATTGCGATGTAAAATTTTTTTTTTTTTTTTAAATTAATTTTTTAGTTATAAAACAATAATTTTTTTATTTAAAAAAATTATTTTTTCATTAAAAAATGAAATTAAAAAAAAAAAAAAATTTTAATTATTTTTTTTATACTTAAAATTTTAGTGTCTAAAAATATGATAAATTATATTTTAAAAAAAATAAATTTTTAGTAATTTTTTTATTTAAAAAAAATGATTTTTTTTTATTAAAAAAAAATAATTTTTTTTTTTTTTAATAATTTTTTTATACTTAAAATTTAATATCTAAAATATAATTAATTATATTTAAAGTAAATTTATTTAATTGTTTATTGATAAAAACTGCAAACATAATAATTTATCGATAATTTTTATCATTTACCTTAAAATCGATTTTTTAAAACTAAAAAAAAAGTTGGACGTGAATCAAATGATTGCATGCTAATTTTAAAATTATCAAAGGGCAAAGTTACTTAAATTAACATAAGTATTATTTATAAATAAATATTGTCGGTCTTGGAATAATTATTTTTAAAAATTAATTATAAGTAGCAATAGACAATACATCGACATTTATAACATCGCAAGTTACAATATTTTTTATACAGATCATTAATAATTAATGATAATAATTTATAATTGGACATAAATCAGGCACGCATACTTGCAAATATTTACACTGTCTCATAACCAGGTGCTCTTGTGTTTGTAAGATAAAAATAAAAATCCATTTATTAGTCAATAATGTATCAGTTATTATTACTATATTAATTAATAATAATAATAATATTAATTTTAAATATTAAACTTTAAAAACAATACTTTCGGGTACTGACTTGGTGTACGTGGCTAAGCGAGAGGGGACGCCCCTGGTGCTGGAGAGGGACATCCCCGTCTTCTTGTCAGCCGTAATAGTAGCTTTTGTTCGTCGGTATATTTCGGAGGTTTTCGGTCGATAAAATAGTGTGGAGGCTGTCCGCGCCGATCATGTGGTTCCCGAGATCGACGCGCACCCCCGGGTGGTGGATCGGCATTTGGTGGTGCATCGGTACCCCGACTCCGCAGTTAATTCCTCCTGCCATCCCTACACCCCCCACTCCTACGCCACTCATTCCACCCACTGGACCACCACCCACTCCCAGTCCTCCCATTCCTCCCACGCCAACTCCGCTGGTGACCATCATCGGTAATGGCATTCGGGAATCGGTGTAATAACGCTCTGTACCGTGTAATCGTTCTGCTAGTTGTGTTTCTGGTATTCTGGAAAAGATTTTATTGTTACTATTTATTGCAATTGCTTATTTTGTAAACAACTTATTATTACTTCTTTTTTTGTTGTTTTTTGGATTTAAAATAAAGAGAAGAAATAAAAGGATTTTTAAGAAGATTACGAACTATTACATTTTAAATTACGCGCTTACTTATGCGACATCTATGTACGTCATTTCCCGTATTGTCAACATTAAAATAGAAAAAATATTTTATTTTGACTGGTCAATTTTTTAAGTTAGAATTGCTACACAAAATTTAAAAAAATTTGGTATATAAATACAATACTAACAACCTTGCAGTCACTATGTGACTGCCGTGATTTGTAAACTATAAATAAAAAAAATTTTGCTTTATTAAATAATGACTTTTGTTAAATTGCGCTGCACTTACTCAACTATTGACGTTTTTAAAGATATAAGCTCATCCCGATGTTACGCTCATCAAGAGCTTTCATTTGAGTACCCACATCAATTTTCAATATATATTATATATTTATATATTTTATACATATAAATATGAAAATATATATAAAAATGCATGTGGGTACTCAAATGAAAGCTCTTGATAATTGTAACATCGGGATGAGCTTATATGTTTAAAAAT